TAGCAAAGGAAAAGGAGTACGACAAGGATGTATATTGTCACCTTGCTTATTTAATATATATGCAGAGTACTTCATGCGAAATGCTGGCCTGGATGAATCACAAGCCGGAATTAAGATTGCTGAGGAAAAAATCAACAATCTCAGATATGCAGACGATACCACTCTAATGGCAGAAACTGAAGAGGACCTAAAGAGCCTCTTGCTTACAGTGAAAGAGGAGAGCGCAAAAGTGGGCTTGAAGCTCAACATGCAGACGATACCACTCTAATGGCAGAAAGTGAAGAGGACCTTAGGAGCCTCTTGCTCAGGGTAAAAGAGGAGAGCGCAAAAGTGGGCTTGAAGCTCAACATAAAAAAAAATAAGATCATGGCATCCGGCCCCATCACTCCTTGGCAAATAGAAGGGGAAGACGTGGAATTAGTGACAGACTTCACGTTCCTGGGATCCCAGATCACCGCAGACTGTGACAGCAGCCGTGAAATTAAAAGACGCCTGCTCCTTGGGAGGAAAGCGATGGTGAACCTAAACAGCATGATAAAAAGTAGAGACATCACCGTGCCAACAAAAGTCTGCATGGTCAAAGCAATGGTATTCCCAGTAGTCATGTATGGCTGCGACAGTTGGACTATAAGGAAGGCCGAGCGCCGAAGAATAGATTCTTTTGAACTATTGTGCTGGAGAAGACTCTCGAGAGTCCCTTGGACTGCAAGAAGATCAAATCAGTCAATCCTAAAAGAAATCAACCCTGACTGTTCCCTGGAAGGCCAGATAATTAAACTGAAGCTCAAATACTTTGGCCACCAAATGAGAAGGGAGCACTCACTGGAGAAGACCCTGATGCTGGGAAAGATTGAAGGTCAAAGAAGACGGGGATGGCAAAGGATGAGATGGTTAGTGTCATCGATGCAACGAACATGAAATTGAGCAAACTTCAGAGGACGGCAGAAGACAGGAGGGCCTGGCATGATGTGGTCCATGGGGCCGCAGACTCAACTGTGCGACTGAACAACAACTCATTAGCATAGAGGGAATTAAGGACAAGGGAATCGACTGTTTTCACACCTACCCTGACAAATGCAGCCGTCTTCCTGGAATGATTTCCTTTCATCACTTTTCTTGTTTCCATTGCCAGTTGGTTCACACTCTGTTGGAAAGATTATGTTACCGATGGGACCAGCAACAGCTCAACCAGCTGAAGCAGTTTTTCACCAAACAGCAATCAATGAGACTAAATCGGGTTAAATCCAAGTAACTCCCATTCAGTTATCCATTTCCTGCAGTCCAACTGCTGAATGAGCCCTCAAAGAAACCACAGGAACAGTTCTGAATGATCAGACCTCTGTGCACATGGCATACCACTACAAATTTCATGAGGTTCTGCATAACCTGTATGAATTGTAGAAATTTGCATCTTAGTGTATTTTACTGCATTTCTGCTCACCAGGAGAGAAACTGCACTGCACAGAGTGGTGAAGCCCTGTTTCCTGGCTTCTGGAAGTCTTACTTGAGCCTCTCACTTTGATCAGTCATTGCTCACACATATTTAAACCTACCTTTGAACACTCAAGGACTATAAATCTGCTTTTTTTTAAAAAAAAAACATGCTTAAGACAAAATTCTGTGGGCAGCAGCAAACTCTGCAGGTTTTTGCACTTACACAGAATCACAGGAGAGTATGACATCTGATTAGTTCTCAGTGTATTGGCGTCTTTGCAACAGTTGTTTCTGGTCCTTTGCAAAAATGTTTATATTAACACCCCAAGATATAAGCAAATGTGGAGGTCGGTATTTCTTTGCCATTTGGTTTTCATTTCTTCTTTACCTGTCTGTGCCATAGGTGTGAACAGACAAAACTTGATGCTGCCTTAAAATGTTAAGAACTACGTGGCAACAGCAGAGGAGACCAGACAGATTCTAATTATCTGCTCAGTGGCTCACTGAAGATGGGAGGGGGAACGCAAATCTACTGAACTTCTGTTTAAACATACGCCGGTTCTACAGGCCTCCTATCTGCCTGCCAACGCAATCCTATGCAGAATTAATCCTATCTAAACTAACTGAAGCAGTGGCCTTTGATAGGAGTAACTCTGCACAGGACTTCACTGCAAGCCTGTTTCAAAAGTGTCACTGATATTGGAATAATATTTTGACATCCGTACCTGTAACTTCCAAGATAAAATTCTGAGCATAATTCAGTGAGCATCCCTGGGTTCACCTCCATGATAGAAACAAAGACAATCCTGCTGGGGTTTCACCCTCAAAGCCACTCTGCTTGCAATTCACTGCTATGAGAGTGACTAGATCTTAAGAGCGGGGGTGTCGAACTCATTTGTTATGAGGGCCGGACCTGACATAAATGAGACCTTGTTGGGCCGGGCCATGTGTGTCATAAAATGTAATGCCAGGTAGCGGAGATATAAACTTTATAGAGGACACAAACACAAAGGGAGGGGTTTTTTTTACTTAAAATAAAAGCATGCTTAAAACATTAGCACTCTTGCAATATTTTGTTTACTTAACAGTGTCTGATAACTGACACCTCTTGCTCTGAATTATTGCATCAAAATGTCTGTGCTGTTGCAATCTTGAGCATGCTGTTCAGGTGTGTATCTGTAAGCTGCAAACCTACGATGATGCAGCAGCAGCAGAACTGGAAGAAGAAGCAAAAGACAGCCAGTTCCACTGCGGGCCTGATAGAAGCCCTCCGGGGGCCTGATCCGACCCCCGGGCCACATGTTTGACGACCCAATCTTAGAGATTCCTCTACAAGACTGATCTGTAGTAAGATTCTCCGCTTTCTCCGCTTTCTTACTGTTCAAACTCCAAGCTTCTCAAAGGTCCCTCCCCATCCATGCTCCTTAACAGTCTGGCTGCCTCAGGTCTACTCCATGCAAAAGTGCCATCTCTATTTATTTATTTATTTATTAGATTTATACCCCACCCTCCCCACCAAAGCAGGCTCAGGGGGACTTACATAAAATTTTAAAACAGTTTAAAACCAACATAAAATCTAAAGTGCTATACTTTCATAGTTTCCCTATGCAGTGGCGAACATGTTCCAATATTGCCATATGCAATATATTTGTGACAGTTTCTATGGTTTTATATTGCTGGTTAAGCGCCGTAACAATAAAATTCATTATTTGTGACAGTAGTCAGTCAATGCAACAATGACAATGGCAAGATCCCAGGGAAGGCTTTGATGTTATAACCATGTGTACCAGATGTACCAGATGTTAGATGTGGTCAAACGTGGTCAAATGCCTGGTGGAAGAGCTCCGTCTTGCAGGCCCTGTGGAATTGTAATACATTCCGCAGGGCCCGGATGTCCTCCGGGAGCTCGTTCCACCAGCGCGGCGCTGCCACAGAAAACGCTCTAGCCCTGGTGGTGGCCAGTCTGGGCTCTTTAGGGCCAGGGAGAACTAGGAGGTTTTGTGTCCCAGAACTTAGCAGAGTTATACCCAGAGTTATACTCAACGGGCCTAGAAAGGGTGTAACTCTGCTTAGGACAACACTGTAAAACCGCCTACCAATACATGCCATTCATTCAAAGTCCGAAAACAATAAGTAAGACATGATAATCTTTCACTGGAACAATTTGTGGTTGGAAATGGGGGGAAAGCACACACACACACACACAATTCGCCACCTACCAAAGTGCTTTTACTTCAATTTACTTTGCACCTCTACAGGATCAACACAGCAGGAAGAGTCTGACATGCTGGTACAAAGGCCCGTTAAAAGCCCAGCAAAAGTGACCCTGCCCCATAAAGAAATGTACAGGTTGGCTCTCGGCCGCCACCGAAGGTTTATTTACAATTAAGAGATATGCTTACATGAATCAGCTGGACAAGAACAGGTTCCAAATTGCAAAACATCGATCGGGCCTCAACATAAAAACTCAGCTGCTGCTCAAAGTCACGGTTGAATGAAACCTGGATTAAGGAGATTCAGAGACGTCATTCCCTAGACATGACTGTGGGATTCAGTTACTCATTCTTTCCGTTTTATATGCTGATGCACACTGCTAACTCTAATGCAGCAGGTGAACGCAGGATCCAATATTTGCCAGGAAATTCAATTCGCATCCTGCAGTCTCAGGAAAAATAACAGATCTTTCTCTCCCCATTTAACTTATGCTCTAGGAACCTCCCCCAAACCCTATGATGAGATGGAAATGTTATGCGAGCTGCTCCTGGAAGTATCCTGAGACTGGGGGCTGAGTTACGGGAGAACTGGAGTTCACAAGCCTGGCGGTGAGCAGGGCGACCCTTTTCCTCAAAAATGCCGTTACTCAACACACATGAAGGTGCTGTGTACGGAGTCAGGCAACTGGTCTATCTAGGTCTCTCCTGTCTACTCTGACTGGCAGCAGCTCTCCAAGCTCTCGGCTAGAGATCCTTCACATCACCTACTACCCGTTTCTTTCTTTTTTTGAACTACAGACACTTCCATGGGTTCACGAAAGCATTACATTTTTATTCTTGTAAAGAGTGGAACTTCTATCAATTCACTTGTGCAAACATGTAAGCCAAAGATGTGTGGCATTTCAGGTATTTTTAATTAAGCCTAACCACTGTGGAATGTCAAAAACTCCCCTTTTAAGTTGACAAATGGCAAGACTGCCTACTGAAATCTGCAATGGAAACTGATCACGAATTCTCTTAGATCTTAAATCCTCCCTCGCCCAGTTTCCTACACATGAAATTCACAGTACTCACCATTCTTACAAATCCATTTATCAAAGAGGCCAACATGCGCTTTTCATCTTCAAGGGTCAGGGCACTAGAAATAATATGTTTCACAGGGTCAGTATTTAAGGAGAAGCCCACAAGAAACTGTAGCGAGCCCTACCAGCCACACACCAACATCTCAGTACTATGTGAAATTTGATGGTTAGAAGGGTTCAGGCCTCAGACCAAGCTCAATACACATTTTAAAAAATGCTTGTTCCAACTCCTGGTGGCCTTCAAGAGGAATACATATTGAACCTTCCTTACTTCCACTTGAATTTCTCCTCAAGGAGGCGGGAGGAATAAAGTCTAACAGCAAGAGACCAGTGAATAATCCCAAATAGCTGTACTGGTGAGCAGTCTTCTCAGCTACAAAAGCATTACTGGGAATGGGATTGCTTGACAAAAAAAACACACATTTTTTGCTGTAAGACACTGTGCTGAAACAAAAGATATGCCATACAAATTCTGGAATGCTGCAAAATGGCAGCATTCAAAGCATAAGCATTTCATTTGATTACCAAATGGAATCCTAATAAATCAAACGTGTTTTGATGAAAACGTGCCCTGCTCCATGTCCATTAAGTCATCCAGCACAAGGCTTTTACGATGACACACAGGTCTCCAGTGTACTATTTTGCAATTCTCCCAGTGCAGACACCAGATGGGAACAGGATGACTGTTCTGTAATACACATTCGATTGAGAAGTGGAGAGGGGTGAAGGATGCAGACCCTCAGCATTATTAGCTCATTAGTGCTCTCCCATCCATCACAGTCATAGCGCAAAACGGATGGATGGCTTGGAAGATTTATAGTACCATCTCTGGGTTACCAAGAACGACTGCTAGTCTGAAGATATGCCCATGCAAGCGACTGCTTAAATGACCCACACTGTGCTGCATCACGGATCGAGGATGAACGGGAGAAACACAGTGGTCATTTGTTACCAGTAACAGGCCATGTAGTCAATAAAGAATCCTGATTCAGAATTCCTTTTAGCAGTACACGGAGATAAAAAGCTGGTGGGAAGTGGAGCATTATTTGTCTTTTCCACTACATCACACTTGACAGAAAGGCTGAAGAGGCAAAGAGGATGCCAAGGCAATGAGAAATTTAGGATTGGGTTCTCAACCGCATCACAGGTTTTCCAAGTATGGATTCTGCAACCTGGATAAACCCTGTGTTCGCTGCATTCCCAGGGTGGCTCAGAATGGGCTGGTGTCATGAAACAAACAGGAGATGCAAGTGCCTTTGGTATCTTCCCTGCCTGGGAGACGCACAAGGGGACAGCTTACAGGCCTGCCAGAACGGGAAAAGATGCAAATGGCCCCTCTCAGACAAGATGGTAAGGACAGATCAGAAGACTGAGGTTCCTGTGCTTCCTGGTCACTCCATGGCACGGCAGCGTCATCTACAAAAGTGCTCTCTGTTGGCTTTTTTCCCCCCTTCGCATGGGCCTTTGTAAACCACAGTGAATGATCAGGATTAGAAGACACGATCAAAAGGGAGCATCCCTTTAGCTACTCTGCGTCTGTTCCAATGACACAGTGCAACCAACCACTGGGCCGGACCCTGCCATTCTTGCCACCTGATCTTTCCAGACTGCCTCCCTTCCTGAGGCCCCCCCTTCCCATGTGGCTTTAGTCCACAATCCCCAGCATAGTCAAAAGGGGACCTTCTTTCACCAGAGGAAAACTTAGTACCACTATCCAACCACCATTTCTGTAAATGATAGCTTAAGTGAGCTGTCTACTCGCATAAGCTATGTACTGGAGGGAGGAGGAGGAGATTGGATTTATACCCCGCCCTTCACTCGGAGTCTCTGAGTGGCTTACAATCTCCTTCCCTTCCTCTCGCCACAACAGACACCCTGTGAGGTGGGTGGGGCTGAGAGAGCTCTGAGAGAACTGCTCTTGACAGAACAGCTCTGTGAGAACTGTGACTGACCCAAGGTCACCCAGCTGGCTGCATGTGAAGGAGTGGGGAATCAAACCCGGTTCTCCCAGATTAGAGTCTGCCGCTCTTAACCACTACACCAAACCGGCCAGCAACACATGCAAGACTATTCACAAGTTGGTTTAGCCCACAATACATTTCTCATTGTGCACGCAGGTTCCTGGATGACCAAACACGGACCTACTTAGCTTCCACAAGGTGGCTCACTCACATACACTGCAATCCTACCCTTGGACCCAGGTTATACTTGAGAGTGCAGAACAGGGGAAGAAAAGGGAACCCCTCATTGGCTTTAACCCCTATGAAACCCAGCACATAGTTGACACAACTTGACCATTCATACACTTTCATCTATTAAATTTAAAGTGCAGGATGAAAGCCTTTTTGGGAAATAGGTCATGTCACCTGCAATGTTCCCTCTAAGCTGTGGAGTCTCGTGAGCAAAAATTCTACTCTGTGAGCTACTGGCATTAAAATTGTGAGCGAGTGATTTGGCTACTGCATAAGTTAGTTTGCTCTGGAGCCCTCCTTCCTGAGCTAAGATAAAAATGTGTGAACCGGAGGCTAAAAAACTGTGAGCTAGCTCACCCTAACTCAGCTTAGAGGGAACACTGGTCACCTGTGTGTTTTATGGGGTGCTCTATGAACAGCACTGCTATTAGCCAGCAACGGGGCTGAATCTCAGAATCACGGGGCGATCTGTCTGCTTTCACTTGGTGTCAAAGGGCACCAAACAGATTGCACCTGCCTCTTGTCCAATGAAGCAGACAGCGCCCAGCCAAGCGGATAGAGGCTGTCCAACCATAACAGGAGGACAGAACACAGGCATGCCCGTGCTTTGTTTCTGGAGGGTCTTCGAATCCTGAGGGCCCTATGCATTCCTGGGACAACTCTCTGTTGGGAAAGCGGGGAGGCGGCCAGAAAAAAGAATTGCCTACCGCACTGTTCCAAAGTGGCAAATTCCAGTTATTTATTTCCAACGAAGGGCTTTTGGGCTAGACAAAAACCACCCACATCAATATTGCATTGTTCACTGGAGCTGCGGCGCCCCCCCCCCCCCCCGCCTTTCTGACAAAAACAATGGAGGGGGAAAGGCACTGAACTGGCACCGTGACCCTCCGCGGCATCTGCCACTTTGTTTACTCCTCTCAATGCTCCCCCAACATCCTCTGCCATCTCTCCCCACTAGTTAAGCTATGAAGTCATTGCCATTTTCCAGATCTTCCTTGTATTCCAGCACTGGAAACAAAGCAGCGATTAAGGAGGCGGTGGCCCATGTGGCCCGTGCTAAGAGTTTTCTCCCATACCTCCCCACCCGTGTTACCCAGAGCCATGAAGAATAGCAGCATGTGGGAAACACCCCCAATCCCACCCTTAGGGACTCAGAACCAATCGCAACAATTGCCATTTAAAAAAACACAAAAACCCGCTCTTTGCTCAATAAAGATAAGGAACTAATTACTTACTTTACAGAATCGTGCATCGTCTTGCACACGTGCAGAAGGGCATTTAGTATTACAGGGTCCTTAGTTGGTTCCAGCTGATGCCTAAACACATACATTGGATAAAAGGAACAGAGCAAAAGTTAAATATCTGCAATTAGAATTGAAGATAACCAACCTGCCCAGCTTTGTGTGTGGTGCTGCTGATAGAAAACAGCTGAAGTTAGACTGGTGGGGGCCTGTGGGAGGGGTGATTTGACCATCACCCCCCCCTTAAGATTCCCAGCAATTCCCTATGACTGGAGATCAATCCCGGTACTCCAGAACAAACTGAATGCTTCTCTTTTCTTGGAAAACCTTTGAGTTTACGTTGAGAAGGAACAGCCACTGTTATTTTTGGCTTACTGTTTTAATCTTGTGCAGCACTGAGGACTTAAGACATTCTGGTGAATTTGACAGTGACTCTGATCTTAATTGTACAATACCTTTCATTAGATTTAGGTGGACAAGCAGCTAATAAATAAAGGGATAGATAAAGGGAGGATACTAAGATGCCTGAAATGTAATGCCTCAACTGCCGGCAATTCAGGTACAGGGATAGATAAAGGGAGGATACTGAGGACTTAAGACATTCTGGTGAATTTGACAGTGACTCTGATCTTAATTGTACAATACCTTTCATTAGATTTAGGTGGACAAGCAGCTAATAAATAAAGGGATAGATAAAGGGAGGATACTAAGATGCCTGAAATGTAATGCCTCAACTGCCGGCAATTCAGGTACAGTGACTTGTTTCTTTAGAAGACCAATCACAGAGATTCTCAGGATTTTAACAAAACCTGACAAGACACGCTACAGTAACATGGGAGCTGCATACCCCTCACCCCTCTGACTGCTTGAAACAGAGATCAGGGCTATGAAATCCTTGGCATATGTGCCAGGCAGCAGCATGGAGGGCCTTCTCTCTGCCCAAGCAAGTGAGGTGAGCCCCTTAAAGGACTGGCAGGGCTGCTGGGGGCTCAGCTTGCTCCCCCCCCCATAGATGGCCAAATACAGCCCTTGTCCACCCCCTTTCTTGTTTGCTGGCACACCAACATCTTCACAGGCAGAAGCATTGTGGTTGTTCACCCGACAGAGTTCTGCAGACACTGGAAATTCCAGCCACGGCTAGGCGATGTGCATTTTTGTACAATGCCTTCCACTTGCCTAGAGAACGCGAGAACGTTTAGCATGGTAATTAGTGGTTCCTTCCATCTATACTGTACTGATTATGCTTCCCTGCTGTGCAGAAAAGTCTTGTCATAGAAAATAAGCATTCATTTAAAGCCTCGTTTGATTACAGGGCGTTAAAAGCTCCATATTCTATTTACTGCAGAGCTAAGGTGTTATGAACAAAAGGGGGGCTGCAGTTCATGTGTGCAGTTCCCTGTTTAGCAGAACAGAGGGTGAGGCCGTCATCACGAACTTGCAGTTTGCCTTCAAATGGAAGTCGCCTTGGAATAACTTCCCCGAAAATGCAGTCCAGAAGTAATCACGTAGGTAACTGTGGCAGCGATTAGGATAAAGACTGAATCCTATGAATCGTGAATGGAAGAAATTCACGGGACAGATCTTTCCAGCTTCACCCTGCTACCTCCTGTGCCCCCCCCTCCAAAAAGCTGAGGACCCCCTGGGAACTATCTGGCCGGTGGAAAGGGGGGGGATACAGCTTGAGGGACAATAAAAAGTAACCATTCCCTTCTCCTCTCATTCCGCTTTGTGAACAGAGCCTCTGCTCCATGTCCCCCTTTGTTTCCAAGGGTGTTCTGAAGATCTGGAGAAGCTTGCCAGGGGAGGCAAGGGGAGGTGGAGAGAGGTGCTCTGTGAACGCTTTCCGGGTCGTGCCCACAGTCCAGGATCTAAACCACACACCTCACATTCCTGGAAGGCGCCTCTACTTGATCAAGGAGCATGGAAAGAGAGAGGAGTTCCCAATTTCAGCCCCTGTGCCATGTCTCAGGCCATTCCTGAGGCATAGTGAGAAGATTTTTGGGGAGGGGGACACACAAAGGGGGCTACACAGGACAAAAGAAGCCTCATTGCACACGGACGGTGATTGGCCTGGAAGGCGCGGTGACGGGAAGACGCAGCGTGGTCGGAGCCTATGAGGACGGAGACCAGCCGCTGCAGCCGTCACACAGCCGCGTGCCGCGCAGACCGTGCCTGAAGGAGTCACTGCGAAAAAGATCAGACCTTCACCGAGAAACCGCCACCTGGAGACCGAAGATCCCTCCACGGAAGGAACACCATAGAAGAGCTCGGCTGCTCAGGTGCCCGGTAGGCACTCACCCTCCCCTGTACTGTGGCCCTAGTCAGGTGAAATTAACAATGCTCTGTAAACCGCTCCGAGCCTTCGGGAAAGAGCGGTATATAAATGTAATATGTAATGTAATGTAATGTAACTTCACTTGTGCTTCTCTGGATCCGAAATACAGATCTGATGTTCTTTTCTGATTCACGGGCCAGGGCTCTGCCCACCCCACCACCACGCACACTAAAAGGGGCCGTTTTAAAATACGATCAAAAACACGAGTTATACAAATATGCCTGCGCTTGCACAATCTCCATCCTTTATTCTCCAGCCTGGATTTATTTGTTTACAAAAACAGACAACACCAGGGGAGGGAGATTGGATTTATACCCCGCCCTTCACTCCCCAAAGGTCTCTCAGAGTGGCTTACAAACTCCTTTCCCTTCCCCTCCCCACAACAGACACCCTGTGAGGTAGGTGGGGCTGAGAGAGCTCTTGACAGTAACTGCTCTTTTTCAAGAACAGCTCTGACAGAACTACGGCTTGCCCAAGGTCATCCAGCCAGGTGCAAGTGGAGGGGTGGGGAATCTAACCTGGTTCTCCCAGATTGGAGTCCACGCACTTAACCACGACACCAAACTAGCGGCAACACTGAACAGCACTGCCCTTGCACTGCCAACTGTGTGTCACTAGACTGCGCTGCTAGCAGTAGGGAGTGGGACAGCTTCGCCCAGCAGTCAGAGCAGGCACAGGTTAATGGATTTACCCAATCAAACAGGAAAATGGGGGGTGGGTGGGTTACTCTAGCATTTTTATCTCTATGCTCATTCCGACACTCTCTATTTGAACCTGGCCCCAAACCGGTCAAAACCATCTCTCATCAGGGGTAACCAAATCCGTAAGCATGGACTCCAGCGCCTCTAAGCAGCTAGGCAGCCCGTGTCATTTGCTTTGCTTTTGTGCATCAAAAAGCTTTCTAGTACTCCCATCTTAAGTGGTCACCCCAACAGTCAGAGCTGGTTTTGAGCTTTAAACACCTGAACAGCCTGGGACAAGGAGATCTTTCAAGATCCCTCATCCCACATCAGCCTTGCCTGATGCACGGGGCACTTCCCAAGCTCCTAGCACCACTGGGAACAGAGCAGGTGGCAACACCAAACAGGGCCTTTCCAGTGATGGCACCAAAGCTGGAGAAATGAATCCCGAGAAAGCGTCATACCTCCATGAATGCTTTTCAGCCACCAGGTGAAAACCATTCTGTTCCAATGGGCTTAGCTAGATGTATTTGTAGAGTGATATATTACAGTGTGGGGATGTGGAATGGTAAAGTATATCCCAATCTTGTCAGATCTCGGAAGCTAAACTGGGTCAGTACTTGGATGCAGAACCACCAAGGAAGACTTTGCAGAGGAAGGCAATGGTAAACCACCTCTGTTTCTCACTTGCCTTGAAAACCCTGTGGGGTCACCATAAGTCTGCTGAGACTTGGAGGCATTTTACACACACGTTTTACAGTGTCCTATTGTATTTATGTAGAAAATGTATATGCCTATGCATATCATGGTGCCTTTGTTTAAAGGTTTTATTATTTTCAGTTGTTATGATTTTATGACACACTTGTATAATGTTGTATGCTTCCTTGAAGACCAAATAATATTGCAACGAACATATATTAAGTAAAATGTTGCAGCAGATGTAATATTAGAAGCTGCATTCCCTCTTTTCTCATACACACGGCTGTGCCTCTTCTAAGATAGGGTTTGCTAGCCTCTGCAGATTTTACAGGTATTTGTGTAATTCTTAAAAAAATTAATAATCCGATTATAATGAGGGAGCAGCATTTCAAGCACGAAGTGTAATTAATTAATCAAAACTACTGCTGAAACACCACAGTTTTTATTTACCATCATTTTGCATCTCCAAGCCATTCAGAAATTGGTCTTGCATTAAGTGAGAATTTTATCATCCATCGCTCCTGAAAGGTTGCACCAGTGGTACAATCAATGAACCGAAACACTGCGTTCTTTATAATGGATTGAGGAAGTTGAGGGGGGTCCCCCCCCCCGCTAACATTTCTGCTGATCATTTTCTCAAGATTCAACTGTCACCACTTAACATTTCTTGCTAAAAATAAATCATGGCTTTTAAAGCGTGTGCAACGTGAACCCTTCAATCTCCATCGCACAAGGTGATAAAAGGAAATTAAATGCCTGAAAGAGTTTATTCAGCACTGAAAATGAAGCTATTCTGATCTTATGATTTCACTTTAATTAAGGAGCCACTGACTTTCTCCCCTTCCACAGTAGAGTTTGTAACACTCCATATGCTCGTATGTTTTTCCCCCCCTGTATCACATTTGCAGCCGAAAAGCATATGGTTACTGAACCAACACAAGCTGTTGAGCAAAGAAAATAACATCTAAGCAGAAGTTGTATCAAAGCATCCATTTTAGGAGCATGGGGTACACTCCAGGCCTGCACTATTGCTCTCTCTCTCTCACAAACACACAAAGGAAAGAAACAAGGCTCGGAAGGCACAGCCTTTGCATCTGGGGATAAATGATGCCATCGCCCTACCCAGGTGGGCAGGTGGGCAGCTTTGCAGTGAGTGTGTGACCAGGACACAGGACCTTGCATCTGCAAAGGTCCCCCTTCCAGGCCTGTCTGCACACACTCAAGTATATCGCTGGATAGTATCCAACAGTTGCTAATTTATTTATACACAAGCTTGAACGAATGCACTGAGTTCCATCATAAGCTATTTATACAAAATAACTGATCAATAGGAATTATAAATGCATTCTAATTATCTTCTGTAGCCTAATCCTTCGTGAAGCAAAAACCTTGATGAAACGCAAACTGATTCAATCCGCCACCGTTAACGGCCTCTTGATAGATTGTCATGGCTCTCTAGAGCACACTTCATCAGAATACATTGTACTTACTTAATAAACGCTTCCATGATGCATTTGCAAACCTCCACTTTCACACTCTCCTTCTGGAACATATCCAGGAATGGCAAGAATTTCTCCTGAAAGGGGGGAAAAAATCAAGAAGATCTCAGCCACGTTTAGGGACTCGAGCTTCAGCAGATTTCCCTGCTTCATCTGGATTGCTTCTGAGTCCCCCCTCCCCTCTACTGGATACGGCCCCATTTCACAGACCTAGCACCCATCCGTGTGAAAATTCTCATTACAGTTCAGTTCTGCAACTGAGACCAAGAGCTTCCAATTTCACACCATTTAATGTTTTACTGGGGCCCTTTTTCCCCTGATAAATGTATGCAATATAATTTTAATGTTACTTGTCTACTAATTGCATAGATATCGAGCGCAAAAAAGAAAAGCATTGAAAATCCGAAGCAATTCAGGAGCACCAGCAATGAAAACAAGCAAAAAAAGAACACTCATGAACACATAAAGAGCTGGGAATAAATGGGGGAAAGGGTGCACTCCCCATACTGACAGAGCTCTTGTCTTATGTTGTACATCTCAGGATTGGGCCAGGGACACTGGGCGATCCCCAGGGTCTATCTAGTTACAAAGACAGGCAGAGGGCGAAAGAAGGCTACAGGTGGCTGGGGAGGATGTTCAGATTTCTGTCAAAGAGACGTGTGGTCATTCCCAGTTCCACTAGAACTTTGTTCCTCGAGTTTCCAACTGTGCTTAAATCCTTCTGGAATTATCTCCATGAAGATTCTGTGCAAGCTGCAGGGTTCCTAAATTACCAAGGCCCGGCCTACTGCAGAAGCATCTTCACCCATACAAATTCCCACCACCACCACTACTTCAAGGTAATGAAGCCCTGATCTGGGTACCTTTTTGGGGGATATGTAAACTAGTCGCCAAGACCTTTCCAAGAGCTGCTGTGGCACTGGGGGATGCCCACGCCCAGGAGGCCTGCTTCACCATTTCCTCTGCAGAGGAAGACTGATCCTGCTGCTGCTGCTTTGTTACTGGTTTTCTTCTCAGCTGGCTGCTGCCTAGCATCCCATGCAGAGTGATTCCAGTCCACGTACACTGAAAGCAACTGGAGCAACTCCGCATAGGACTGCACTCACTTTGTAAATTAGTTGTATTCTTGTTTATTTATATTTACAAATAAGACTCCCAGAGCTACCCAGAAACTTACCAATGAAAACAGAATGGAGAAGTCATGAAAATAGGTGACGACTTTCTCAATTATTGACTGAAGCTAAAAACACGAGGTAAGATGATGAACCGGGGAGGGGGGGGGAGAAAAAGAGAAGAGAGGCAGGTAACTTTCCTTTATGTTCATTCCAATTCTTCCTTCCTTCCATTTAAACCAATTGCTTCTTTCCATTCCTTGGTGGGCATAGCATTTACAATTACTTGCCTTCTCTCTTAAAATGATTTGAAGGCTACCAATAGATTTCCTACAACTGTTAAATTACCACCCTCCCAGGTAAAATGTATCCAGCTAAGCCTTAAATTAACCAACTTTATTGTTCAATGAACATAGATTGTGATTATTCATCTTAAAAGCCACCCATAATCCTCGACAGCCATCATGCGTTTCTGTTTAAATGACATCTTTGGTGGGTTTCATGTTTTTTAAAACTATTTCTCTGTTTACCTGGGGGTAGGCTTCTTCAAACGCCCGGTCTGGAGTCATATGTTTAATGACATCTGCTAAAACGGTATTGACCTCACGCTGCTGTGGAGTACAAAGGTAGTCGGTCACCAAGCAGCAACAAAGGGGCATGGCTGAATACATGATCGAAACTGTATAAAAGGACAGGACAGCTACAAAGCCCAGCTGGCCCCATCGGCTGCATGGCCAGTCTCAGAATGGCTCCTTTATGAATCTATAAAGAGTCCTCACTACCTAGGCTCTTGCAGCTCACAGTGAATTAAGATAAAATAAAAACAAGGAGTTCTGTGGCACCCTGAAGACTAACCATTACTTATTTCTGCATCACACAGTTATGCCACTTGAAATCTTCATTATGGAAGTCACCAGTTGAAAACTTGATTCCTAATCAAGGAAAGAGCTAAGTATTGAACACAGATAAACAGTATTTAGTGCAAGTCATTGTGCACCTTTCTCTCCAGTGGAAACCCAAAGTGGCTGACAACATTCCCTTCTCCATGTTATCCTCACAACAACCCTGTGAGGCATGTTAAACTGAGGTGTGTGTAACTGACCCCAGGTTGCCTAGTGAGCTTCCATGACAAAGTAGAGATTTGGACTTGGGTCTCTCGCAGATCCTTCTATGTCACAGGGATGAGCATGGACTGGAACACGGACATAATTCTTCCACAGTCCATGGTCTGTGAGCCCAGTCTACACACCCGCCAACATGGACCTCCCAATACCGTCCCGAGAGATTCGTGGGTCTGTGGGGGGGGGCAGGGCCTACAAAAGCCCCGCAGCACACAAGGGAAGGTCGAGCGGTGACTTCACCCACTTCCGGGCGGATGAACCCACCACTCAGCCTTCACTCATGCACCACCCGGCTTTGCAAGACATGCAGCGCAAGGGTGAAGGCCAACTGGCGAGTTCACCCACTTCCGGGTGGGTGAACTCACTGCTCAGCCTTCACTTGTGTGCCACCCAGCTTTGCAAAAGCACTTTTACAAAGAGGCCGAGCGGCACACAAGTGAAGGCCATTTAAAATTTAAATAGCTTTTGCAAAGAGGCCAAGCTGTGACTTCACTCACTTCCGGTTTACCAAAACGTAAACCGGAAGTAGGTGAAGTCGCTGCTTGGGTGTCACGGTCCAAACGGACCTGATCCAGTCTGTGAAACATGGTGGTTTATGGTCCGGGGGAACCAAATGAACCAGATGGACCACCATTTTTCTGGACTGTGCCTATTCCTAGTATGACACCCTAAATGCCATACCATGGTGGCTGGTGTGGTGGAGGTTAGCAGTATTTCTTGGTCACTAATCAGAGTCTCAGAAAGGATGGACCTAGATAAAGCAATACTCTTATTTTAAAAGAATGTAATGCCAGTTTTTCACTGCCTCTTTAAGTGGGACACGTGTACATCAGTTTGGTGTAGTAGCTAAGTGCACGGACTCTAATCTGGGAGAACCAGGTTTGATTCCCCACTCCTCCACTTGCAGCTGCTGGATGACCTTGGGCAAGCTGTAGTTCTGATAACAGCTGTTCTTGAAAAAGAGCAGTTTCTGTCAGAGCTCTCTCAGCCCCACCTGCCTCACAGGGTGTTTGTTGTGGGGAGGGGAAGGGAAAGGAGTTTGTAAGCCGCTCTGAGACTCTGAGTGAAGGGCGGGGTATAAATCCAATCTCCTCCTCCCCCTCCTCCTACTCACCCCAAAAGATAAGACATACAACAGTGTATCACATGAACAATGTGCAACTAGAATCTAAAATGCTGTAGCATGTAAAACTTATTGGATTTTTATTGTACAGCATTATCAACAATTATAAACTTGTCTGGAGCTGGAAGGTGGGGTGGGAACGAATGGGGTAAGAACAATCTTCACATACCGTGAAATGTCTACAGGTATATTCTACCCAGATTTCTGCACAGCTGATATAATCCTGAAAGATGAATGTCTTGAAGTTATATTTAAAGTGCATCCCTTTAGAAAAAAGGCACATTAAGCCTTCCCTGCGATCCCCACCCTCTTCTATTAAATACTGTATTACTTATTGTTCAAAATATTTATAACTAACAAAATAACATATAAATAAGGAATTGTTATAAGCAAGAACTCTACAAGTATATTGTGATATTAAAACTAACTGTACTAACATTTTTACTAACAGTCAAAAGATCTCCTCTTGGGGTTTTAGTTTAGCGTGGTTTGCTTTCCTTTATCCTTAGTTGTAGTCCCTTCCCTAATATTTCTTTGTAGTTTTTGTAGTATTTGCAAAATAAAAAAAATATCCATCCGGGGATTTTAAAAAAATATATTTATAGCACACCTTTTCTCCAATGAAGGGCCAAAGGCAGCTTACTACAATCGTGCATGGCAAATACCAGGGGTGGCCAAACTGTGGCTCAAGAGCCACATGTGGCTCTTTCACACATATTGTGTGGCTCCCGCTACAGTGGCTGGGGAAGCAAAGGGGAGGCATGCCTCCCCAATTGGTCTTCCCTTCCCCAGCCAGTGCAGAGACAGAAAGCAACTTGAACTTTAAATGCATTCTCAAAGCCCCCCCTGCCCGCCCAGCCAGCCAGCTGGGAGAAGGCATTTGTCTCTTTAAATCCCTCCTCCAAGGACACATTTAACATTAAAGTTGCTTTCTTTCCACCCCCCCCATCTATTTGCTTTCTTTCCACTTTCTTTCTTTCCACCTTTCTCTCTCTCTCTCTCTCTTTTTCCCCTCCCTTGCCATCTAAAGTTATCAATTTAATATTAATAAAAGTAAATGTGCATATTTTTCAATAAAAACATGTGTGTAATATTTGTTCATGTCTTGCGGCTCTCAAACATCTGACGTTTATTCTACGTGGCTCTTACTTTAAGCAAGTTTGGCCACCCCTGCATTATATCAAAACAGATTTTAAACATTTAACAGTTTAAACTATATAAACAATCAAGCCAGTACTAAGAACTTACCCCCCCCCCAAAAAAACCCCAATCTTCAATGGATCGGTATATCAACCCTTATGAAAATACCCAATGCCAAAAGTTCTCTGGTAGAAACCTGCCTTACAGAGCCTTCTGAAGATCAACACAGGTGGAACTCATCTCACCTGTTCTGGGAAGCCAGAGGGTTACATTTACACCGATCTTACCATCCTTTATGATAACGTGGGTAAGCAGAATGGGATTAGAACATTTATACTGAATTTAGATCCCAAAGGCCTGTTGGTGGCATTCTGCTGGATTTGAAATGATATCTTAAGTGGGTATGCTTTTTATACAACGCATTTAAAAATCTTGGTGTAAAATAACAGCAAATTCCTTGGCCAAAGTAAGCTAGGCAATACTCCCAAAGAGAGACTATTTAGAACTTGCATGGCATGAAAGAATCTGTGGCTGCATTAAGGCCTTATCCAACCAACGGCCCACCTGTGGATTCTTTAACTTTGTGATAACCTTCCAGGCTTCATTTAAGATCTGAAGTCGATCGCCTTCTGGGGGATCAGCTAGGGCCAAGTTCCGCCCCAGAGACCGAAAGAGAAGATGCTGTGGAAATATCAGATAGTCCGTTTAAAGCTACATCCATTAGTTACTGTCGTTCAGCTAAACGCTACAGATAACTAAAATTAATCCACTGTTGTTATCATACTGTGGTACAAAGGAAAACCCAGAAACACTCCTGAATGCCTGAACTACATAGCGTTCCTCCGCTAGGAAAAGACAAAAAGAAAACAAGCATTATATCAATCTCTCAGACATTAGCGCACCATACATTAGGATGGGGTCTGCTCTGCAGTGCGAGCAATACCAATCGTTCCATGGATCCCTGAACAACACATCTTTTTTTTTTTTTTTGGTGTGTAATGCGGGACCCTCTCCCACCATCTCACCCCAGCCATACCATCTCATTGAAAGAAAAATTTGATTCTACTCTGAAATTTACTACTTCTGTATTTCTGAAACTACATCACTGTCCTGTTCATGTTAGGGCTTTTCGACCATCCCCCACCTTTTGCTGTTTGTCGAATGTTAACACCCAGCCTGAAACAAGAATCATAAGAACATAAGAGACGCCAATGTTGGATCAGGCCAAAGGCCCATCCAGTCCAACACTCTGTGTCACTCAGTGGCCAGAAATACCCGGTGCCATCAGGAGGTCCACCAGTGGGGCCAGGACATTAGAAGCCCTCCCACTGTTGACACACACACACCCCAAGCACCAAGTCCTCCAAAGTTTTCTGACTGTTTTGTAATGCTCTGGCTGGACCTAAGCAAGTCTGCCTTCCGCAAGACCTAGCTGGCCGATTCAAATCGTGGAAATGTTTGCATGAGCGCAGGCAGTCCCCTTCAGGTCTTTTGAGCCCAAGCCATTTAGGGCTGAGAAGGCTGAGGTCCTCTGAACTGGTCCCACAAACAAGCTGGAGCCAAACACTGGAATTTGGTGTGCCATTCTCCAGTTAGCCTTCTGGCTACTGCATTTTGTACCAATTGATGGTTTCAGGCCAGAACAGACTGCTGCATTGAGAAGGCTGCAATAACCCAATAACTAAGATACATTTCCCACAAGATTTAGGAACAAAGTATAAGAAGAAGGCAAATCATGATGTACGTGAGCAGAAATGACTTTCAAACAAAAATATATATTCTTCTTATCTTTTGTGAAGTATATTGGTGCTATAAAGCATGAAAATGATTCACTAAACCATAAAGTTGCCCAGGGGGAGGGGGAGGGGAGACCAAAGCTTACCTTGGGAAACCCAGATTCCTCACACTCCTTAATCATGGCAATAAAATCCATAGACCTCGCAGCAATAAACTCGGCTCTGAAGGCAGACATGACTGAATTCAAGAGCAAGGCACTGGAAAGGAACATCATCCCGTTCAGTATAAGATCACAAAAAAAACCAAAAACCCCACCAAACAACCACCCAAAATCAAGTTTCATGTTTGTCATTTATGGTAAAATTCCCCACCTCTCTATCAATAATGGCACTAAAGGTGATCCACAAAGCTATGAACACACTTTAATGCAATTGCTTTGCAACACAGTGGGGAAAAACAAGGCGACAATGAGCCCAAGTTACTTATTTCCACCTTTGAAGCCCCACTGTACAACAGGGGAGGGGGAGATTGGAAAAGATCCTCATGGTAGTCATTAGATAGGCCTGCTGCTGCTTTCGCCTTGATTCAGACATAACATGGAACCTCGAGTTATTTTGTAAAAGCGGGATTTGGCTAGAAGATGAATGTTCAGATCCCGGTTTGACTCAGCAAATGCTGGTTTCGTCAGCCTGGGTGGCTGCTAGTGGAGCATTCAATTTTGGTGCCAATAAACAACGCTGGACATCTGCTTTGGTACATCATGCAAAACCATACTTTAGAGTAACTGTGATTAAATAAACCAGCCCCCAAACCATCCTGGTTTGATGTACAAACTACAGACATACTGTCGGCACCATCTACCTCACAGAGTCGTTGTGAAGATAAGAGGGAGGAAAGGGAAATAATCTAAGCTGCTTTCTGTCACCATTGGAGAAAAAAGTGTGGTATAAATGAATATACAATAAAATAAATAACCTAGCCACAGTTAGTGGAGTGCCCCATGTTTGGAAAATCACACAAACTATCGTTTCATTAAATCAAAATTTTTTGTGTCATCTGAACTGAGCCACTGTCTCCTTAGGGCCAGTTTAGGTCTTTTGCACCAGTCTGGTTGATCCCAATAAAAGGTATTACACAGATTTCATTCTTGGCTTTAGAGTAGACCCAGAGGAGAAGGCTTTTGTATGATCCACCAGTAATGGTAGGAAGTGTGTACAGAAGACACATGCATCCTATGACACACACGTTTATCTAGTTTGCTGAAGAGGCATAACTTTCCCACAACTAGTCTGGCTGGACAGGAGAAGTCTGGCTTGCAACCGTTGTCCTGCCCCCTCCCGTTTCATTATCTAAGCCCATTTCCGCTATATTAGGGCCGCTATATCCAGAGACCCTCTGTTAGTTGAAGCAAAAAGCTAAAGCTGGGCTTCCTTCCAGTTCCACTTTCACCACCACCACACCTTTTCCTTTCAACATCTATCGGTGCATGCACCAAATCAAGTTTCACCTTCAAGACATCTTCTATTATTTTGATTTGGTGCCTGAAATATTTTTTATTAAATATAACTCCAGATGTGCTTATATATAATGAAAAATATGTAATATCGTATGTAATCACAGCAGCGAGAATACTATGGGCTAAATATTGGAAACTTGATAATATACCCAGAACTGATGAAGTAATAGACAAATTACTAGAAGTGGCTGAAATAGATAAATTGAATATGATATTACAAGGGGAAAACAAAGAAGAATTTATGGAAAGATGGGTAGGATTGTATAACTGGTTAGAGAAGGATGTTGGACTCTGAATATATATGTGTATATGTGCTAAAAATGATAGTAACCATATGTAAAAGCAAAAAAAAATAATTAAAAAAAACATATATCGGTGCATGCATGAAATTAAGCAAATTCAACATTGGCAGAGAAAAGGAACACTCTGAAACACCCACAAATCCCACAACTTAGTGGGGGGCCTACAGGCACACATGAACACATGCAGACAGAGCCAGGTGGGTAGCCATGTTGGTCTGAAGCAGCAGAACAAAGTTCGAGTCCGGTGGCAGGCAGACGGCCCCGGGTGCAAGCCCTGGCATCTGCCGTTAAAAGGCCCAGGCAGCGGGCAATGGGAAAGACCTCCCCCTGAGACCCTGGAGAGCTCCTGCCAGTCTGAGCAGACCATGTGGACCCACAATCTGACTCAGCGTAAGGTCACTTCATTTAGGGATGGGCCGTGGCTCAGTGTCTGAGGCTGTGAGGGGAGAGAGGGTGTCCCCTCCAACTGTGCCTGGAATGCAGTCCCCTTTCATAAAGCAAGTGCAGTTCTAAGAGGCTGGAGCTCTGTGAACTCACTACATACTTGTTGCCTAGCTTCTTGCACCTTTCCATCACCTCGGTCAGCAGAACCTACAAAAGAAAACATCAAGAGAATGAAAAACAAGACATGCAACCTAAACAAAAGAAAACAGCCCTTCTCTAGCAAAGAGGCGGGCATTCTCCAGCAGACGTCCCAAACAGTGGCATGCCAGACCTTCCTACTTCACAAGGTTGGCATCTGGGTTTATTGCAAGCTCTTGGTACCAGTGTCCATGTTCAAATTAGATGTTGCATTATTGTGGGTGAGGACAGAGTTGTTTTGAGATTGGGCAGCCGTGTTGAAAAAGCTGGAGACCAGTGGCACCTTTAAGGCCAACACACTGAAGGAGTAAACTTTCATGTGCTTGTACATGCACTTGTACATGCACACGAAAGCTTCTACCTTGAAAAAAACTTTGTTGGTCTTAAAGGTGCCACTGGACTAGAATGTTTTTCTGTTACAGCAACAGTTTATGTGGGTTACATACAACAGACAGAATGCCAGCTGCAACCCAAAAGCATGTTCACTATTTTGTAACGTCAGTACAGGATGGGGGGAAAAAGTGTTTTTATTTCTTTTTTCCAATCAAATCTGGCTCAATGGGAGCAGAGCTCTTCTTAAGGTTCTGGGCTGCTTCATTACAGGGCAGACAGCTTGTTAGGGAGACTGGGGGACACCCACTCCAGCCGTTTCCCCCAAGGAATTCTCTAGAACAATTAAATAAAACATAGTAAAGGTAAAGGTTCCCTTGCTCGAAAGCCAGTCGAATCCGATGCTAGGGTTGCGGTGCTCATCTCCATTTCAAAGCCGAAGAGCCAGCGCTGTCCAAAGACGTTTCCGTGGTCATGTGGCCGGCATGACTAAACACCAAGGCGCACGGAACGCTGTTACCTTCCCACTGAAGTGGTCCCTATTTCTCTACTTGCAATTTCTTGCTTTCGAACTGCTAGGTTGGCAGGAGCTGGAACTAGAGACGGGAGCTCACTCCGTCATGCGGTACACTCGGGTCTCAAACTGCTGAACTACCGACCTTCCACAGCCTGCAGTTCAGCGTCTTAACCACTCGAGCCACCGCAGCTCCATAAATAAAACATAAATAAAACATAGAAACACACAAACAGGGAGGAGGACCGACTAAGACTGAGTGAGGGAATGCCAGAGAGAACAAAACAGTCTTCTGCTGCTGGTGGGAGCCAATGGCGGAGGGACAGGAGAACGGTGAGGGCAGGCTGCCTCACTGCTGGGCAGCAGATTTCATTTGGCTTCACTTGCGAGCCAGCGTGTTAGTCTAGGACTAGAATTGCCCAGATTCACACACACACACACACACATCTTTTAACCAGAAGCTGACTTGGAGACCCTGGCCACACTCTCAGCCCGATAGCCTCCTTGGGGCTGTTGCAGTGATAAAACAGCAGAGAGGAGAACCATGTATAATACCTCTGAGCTTCTAGGACAAAGAACAGGGGGAAAAGACGGTTCAGAAAGTTTGTTCTGAGAAAGCAACACGCTCACTGAAGAGGCACTCCCCTTTCAAAAGGCCCAGTCAGTTGTTGCTAGTTGGCCACCCCAATTAGGAGCAAGCAGACAGTAAGATCCACGGCCGCCCAGGTCCCTGAATTCTCCATTACGGCCCCACCCACAGCACCGGTGTGCCTGGGGAGGTCAGGAAGGTTCTCCACACTTCTGTCCTTTTGCAGAATGTGGAAAACAGAATTGCTCAAGAGGTCATTTTTATAATGTAAGAAAAACTTTACTACATTGTTTATTATACACTTTATTGTTTTCTAACATTGTATTCCAGCTTTATCACACTATTTATTGTATATGTAAGACTCTGTTTTTATTGCACAGTTCGTATATTGTCATCTCATGTTGTATGTATTACACAGTTATTTTATGTTTGCCAGTTTTTGTAATCTTGCTGCAATGCATTGTTTACAGCATGGTTTATGATGCCATTTGTTAGGTTCTCTAATCTTGGAAACCAGCTAATACATGGTATGTATTATATACTGTTTTCACTGAACTATTTTTGAACTGTGTGATCTACCTGGAGTCCAACAAGAAAAATGGACTATATATACATCAAGTAAGCAAATAAGCAAATAAACAAAAGCCACAATAATGCTTTGTTGCAAAGGCAGGAAGTACAGATTTCTGGCAAAGCATCCAATGGTTTTCAATACAACCTCTTAAAAAACAAACACAGAGGCAAAAGCAAGGAATGAAAAAGATTTCAGATTTCCACTGGGATGCATTTTATTGGCTATCCTCCCCCCAAAAAACACACATACACGTTATACCGGTATGTGTTAATGTCTTGTTAGAAATTAAATTTTTGCTTCTAACTTTTAAAGGGAGTTTGTAATGTTATGCTGATGGAGTTTAAAAATAAAAAGGAAGTGTAACTTGCATGACCAAGGTGAGAAAACAGTACAGAGAACAGAATTGTGAGATTCCAAAGTAGGATAACAAGTCCCCTTGATTTATGCCAGAAAACAGGATGGGTTGTAAAAACCCTGAATGACACATTATCATTTCTGGTTGCCAAAAGGATCTGCATTTCAATTCACATAATATAGACTTTCCGACTACTGAAATAACGTTGGGAATATTTACATCCTGATCCTAAATCCATTCCTTGGAGATTCAATTACTCCGGCTTCATGCTCAAAGTGTTTTAGCGGGGGGGGGGGGGAGCAGCATTGAGAGTCTGCCAACACATGCTTCCCCCCCAGCAAATGCTAATTTCTACAGATATAAATTAGATGTCAAACAAATATTAAAATGCTTTTTTATGCATTAGATTTTTATCTTGCCCTTCCTCCAAGGAGTTCTGGAGGGGCCTCCTCCCATTTTATCCCTAAAAATACTGGGCCAAGAGAAACATTGGCTTGCAGTCACCCAGCGCGCTTCATGGCAGAGTGAGGATTTGAACCTGGGTCTCAGCAATCACTGTCTTGCAATAATTACTCCATACAATAATAGATCCAATTGGAAATGAGAAATGGGACTTGTGTTCAGAGCTACCAAGTGTTTTTTCTTGGTCAAGAGCAACAACACAGGGCCCTAATGCAGTCTGGGATGCACTTGAATGGGGAGAGGGTTCAACTTTTCAGCCAGTCTACCATTTTCCTGGTCCCCTCTAGAGCATATCCCGACAGACACACAACACCACAGCCGCAGTCCTGGGCAGATGCTATTCAATGAAGAAGAATGCCTTTCACAGTCACAGGACTTCTCTCATCTAGAAACACAAGGCTGAGAAACTTATAGGAGAACACCTCAACCTTCCAGGACATTCAATGGGTGACCTCAAAGTAGCTGTTTTAAAGGAACTTCAAGAACAGACTAGGAAGGGAAATTGCTGAGATGTAAGTTATTACAACACTCAGGACAATGGAATCCCCAGGACTTAACAGGGATATTGGTTTCTTATCTCACTACATAAGAACATAAGAGAAGCCAATGTTGGATCAGGCCAATGGCCCATCCAGTCCAACACTCTGTCACACAGTGGCCAAAAATACCAGGTGCCATCAGGAGGTCCAGCAGTGGGGCTACCCCCCAAGCACCAACAATACAGAGGATCACTTGCCCCAGCCTGAGAGTTCCTATCTATACCTTGTGGCTAATAGCCACTGATGGACCTCTGCTCCATATGCTTATCTAATTCCCTCTTGAAGCCATCCATGCGTGTAGCCACCACCACCTCCTGTGGCAGTGAATTCCATGTGTTAATCACTCTTTGGATGAAGAAGGACTTCCTTTTATCTGTTCTAACCCGACTGCTCAGCAATTTTATTGTGCCCACGAGTTCTTGTATTGTGAGAAAGGGAGAAAAGTACTTCTTTCTCTACCTGCTCTATCGCATGATAATCTTATAAACCTCGATCATGTCACCCTTCAGCCCTCATTTCTATAAGCTAAAGAGCCCCAAGCACTTTAACCTTTCTTCATAGGGAAAGTGTTTCAACCCTTAATAATTCTAGTTGTCCTTTTCTGCACTTTTTCCAATGCTATAATATCCTTTTTGAGGTGTGGTGACCAGAACTGTACACAGTACTCCAAATGAGGTCGCACCATTGATTTATACAGGGGCATTATGATACTGGCTGATTTGTTTTCAGTTCCCTTCCTAATAATCCTCAGCATAGCGTTGGCCTTTTTTATTGCAGTGAGTTATCTACTACGACTCCAAGATCTCTCTCTTGGTCAATCTCTGACAGTTCAGACCCATCAACGTGTATTTATAGTATTTACAGTTAGGACTTTTGGCTCCAATGTGCATCACTTGGCCACATTGAACCCCATTTGCCACGTTGACGCCCACTCGCCCATCCTCGACAGATCCCTTTGAAGTGCCTCACAATCCTCCCTGGTTCTCACCACCCTGAACAACTTCATGTCATCCACAAATTTAGCCACTTCACTGCTTACTCCCAACTCCAAATCATTAATGAACAAGTTAAAAAGCATTGGATCGAGTACTGATCCCTGCGGTACCCCACTGCTTACCACCCTCCACGTATGCTAACCTCATTCAGCCCTTACATCTGTATTCTCACCAATCCCCCAGAAGGGCCATTTTATTTTATCTCTTATTTGGCATAACAAATTAGAATAGTAGACTGTTAACGTAACATAATGAATAGTAGAAATTGGAATGTGTTTCTCTGGTCTGGGGACAGGGGAGATAAATCTGCACAGCCAGTCCCACCACTTCAAAGAAGAAGATGCTGTAAAGACAAGCCTCCATGCTTGACTTTACAGCTTATTATTCCTGTTTGATCCTTGTATCTGTTAAATATCTTCATTGTAGCAGTTTGATATTAGACTAAATTTTAATCTGCTTTTAATGTTTTACTGATGTATTTTTAAATCTTGGAATATTGTAAAGGTGTACTTCTTTTTGTATGACTCATCTAAGGACTGCAGAAATAAACTAAACTATCCTGAAGTATCTTCATTATGTTGTATGATAATTTACTGCTCACCCTCAACCTATATGTAAGGACTAATAATTTTCAATTTTGCTTCTGTCTCTGTCTTAACTCTAATTGGCCCTTCCTGACAACTAAACCCCACCCCACCTTTGTAATGGCTGAGAAAATTGTGTTTCACTGTATCTGAAGAAGTGTGCTTGCACACAAAAAGCTTATACCTTGAATAAAACTTTGTCGGTCTTAAAGGTGCCACTGGACTCGAACTCTGTTCCATACAATAATGAACTACTTTATGCTTCTTGAAATTCCCTACTCTGGACAACTGCAGAGGCAAAGAGGAACCTGGGAACAGCATGGCTAACTCCTTTCCCCCAGGAGATGTATATATACTGGGAACAGTGGTACCGTAGTAGGCTAAAAGATATTGGTTGAGTGAGCACATGGGGACAGAAAATTGAACATCTCCATAGTGTCGTACAAACTCAATACTGCTGCCTTCCATCTGTCCATTCCTCATTGCACCTGGCTTGCTGAAACTATCATAACTGGACCCCCGACTTCTCTAAAATGGCTTGTATTCTTTGTGTGTATTAGTGAGTTCTGAGAGTTTATCAGCAAAAAGGATGATTCATACTTGCTCAATCTATCAGCAACCTGCAAGACTGTTGATCATTAAATCTGGAAATTTGCTCGCATGAGCAAGCGCTGTCTTGGATCTAGCGGCAATTTCTGATGGAAAGAAATTTTCATCAGTGGAGTAGGACTTCCTGCCCCCTCCCTTGATCTGTTGCTCCAAATGCCCCCAGAAATGCTGCTCCTGGGATAACAGGGATCCTCAAGAACAGTGTAAGGGGCCATCTGGGGCTGCAACAGGAATTGGGGGTCAGCAAAAATGCACCCCCCTGCACAGAAATCTCAGCCACGGGTTTGCAGAGTAGCAGGTTTTGATGTAGGGCAACATTCTCATCCCCATTTACTAAAATGGCAGAACATCAACACAGGCTTATCCTGAGTTAGTTTGCTAGGTGAAACCATGAGCAAATCTCTCTTTCTGTTAGGGAAGTTTATATAATACAGTGAAGCCGCAGGCTAGCAAAATGCCATCCTCAAACACTGTAGAACCTGGAAACAGCCCCAAACTCCGCAACGTTTAAAAAAAATGTATTTAAGGTCCCAAAGCCTGGGTTAAGAGAGTTCTTTGTTGTGCCTTTATTCATGAGATACTCTGGATTCCAGTGTGACTCTCATGTGAAAGCATTTTTAATACTGGTGGCCAGAAACCCACAAAGGTGCACAATCATGAGTCTGGCTCCTTTGGCAGATTTAGGGCAGAGAAGCAAGTTGAATTTTTTTTAAAAAATGCATTGGAACTCTGAAACTGCAGATTTTCCATTAACTTTTATAGCCTTTACAATATTAACAAGCTGCTACTTATCTTACATTCACATGCAAACTTGCATCCAACCACCAACTGCTTTGGAATGATACATTCTTTTTTTTTTTAAATAACCTTTTAGCTTCAAAACCTGTATTTGAAAAATCGCTTGTACCTCCAATTTTCAATTTACCTGTATTGATTTTTTTTTATTATAAACAGCCTTAGTAGCTATCCCAAAAAGAAAGAAAAAAAGAACATACTTCCTATATTTTTATGGTTGATTAGATAGCGAGCTGCTTTGATCACTAATCCACCTGAATCAAAACCTGCAAAATACAATCTTCAAGCACAGCACCCAAATTATACTTGCTAAAAACACTTAAGGTGTGTGCATTTGGTATACCCAAGTCAAAAAAATACCTTACTAGTATTTTTCGGGTTTGTCCTAAGCCAAATACAAATCAGAGAATAATTTCAGCTACCAGTATAGTTGATCCCAAATAAAGCTGAAATTATTTGGCTTTTATTAGGGTATACTGAATAGCTGCTCACGAAGAGGTTACTTTAAACTTTAAAGGGCTACAAAGTAACTTTCAGTTCTCTCCTCTAGGGCTCTTTCCTGCCTTTTGCTTTGGTTTCCAGGGCAACAGGAGGTAGGGGGAAGAGGCATCTCTGCAGCCCAGTAGCAAAAGCACCCTAGGGGGAGCTTAGCCAATCATTGCAATGCTTTTGCAAATGGCACTGCATTGCAGGTTTGCAACTTGCAAGGTTGTTGTTGGCGTCCAATGTTAAGTCCCGGTAACTACCTTGCTTTCACCAGCCATTTCCCAGGAAATGGGGGATAGGGGCGCAGTGGCAATTTGGCGAATAGGATTTCAGGTTACGGGGCACACTGCTTTTTAGCCAATCACAGAACTTTGTTCTTTTTTGGCATGGCTGTCTAAGCATGGGCAAAGTGCATAAAAGCAAGGGCCTGGCAGAGCTAGACTCCATTGCTGAGATTTGGTTTGGAGAGTGTGCACTGGCTTTGGCTTCAGCTGCTGCTTTGAGTCTGACTCCTCAGTGCTGCCTGACAGACTCTGCTGTGGACTTCGGATCAGATCCTGCCTGCATGCTTGAAAAATAAAGACAGTGACTGGTTTGACTGAACAACATTTTTAAAAAGGTTTTCTTATTGAGGAGGACCATGTTTGCCCTCATTGTATAGAGCTTCCAGGGACCATGTGAAGACACAGTTGTCCCACACCTGCAGGAGAACTGTGCACTTTATGTCTGACATCTGGACCCCTGCATAGATACACAATGCGTATCTGTCGCTGACTGTGCACTGGTAGCAGCCCAGTGGCATTGTGGCTGGGGGTTGGGAAACTAGTGTTAGGCAGGGTCACGGTCAGGGCCGATATTGGGATTTGGGCATATCAGGAAATACTGATATTTTTTGGGTTCAATATACCCAAATCCAGAAAAAAAGATTTCTTTCTTGCACACCCCCAGTACCACTGCACATATTAAAAGCTTTCTATCTCACCTTGAACACCAATGCAAGGCAGCATACACCACTAACTAGGGAGGGATGCCAGCCTCCAGGTGGGGCCTGGGGATCCCCTAGAATTACAGCTCATTTCCACACTACAAAGCTCAGTTTCCCTGGAGAAATGGATGCTTTGGAGGGTGGACTTTATGGCACTGTACTCCACTGAGGTCCCTGCCCTCCTCAAGTTCCATCCCCAAATCTCCAGGAGTTTCCCAACTGGATCTGACAACCCTACCCTCACCCCTCAACCAGAACTGGAAAACATACACATGAAAAACCAACAGTCTACTTCATAGCAACTAGAATTTCAGTATCTAACTCTCACAACCTCTTCAGACATAGAGCCAGCTGAACCTTAAATGCCATCCAGGCACACCGAAAAAAAATGGTCTTGCATTTTCTGCAGAGTCCCTGGATTGGAGCATGTCCAGACGGTAGCCAAACGACATACTTCTACAAAGGGATCCAACAACAGGGAAGATTCAACGGACCTGAGGTGATGCACAGGTATATATTCAAAACCATGGACAAATTCAAGTACCACCTTAGATCTTTGTTCCAGTTAAACATTAAACCTTGCCTATAACCAAAGCATTCTTTACCTCTGCAGCCCAATAAGAGATGCATTGTAGAATCCAATCTATTGCAGGAGAATAAAGAGTGAGGTACAATGGGATTTCTACACACTGCACCACCAACTGATTCTGCACTGTGTCACCATGAATCTGTGAAAAACAAAGATAAATCATTGTGAAAAGCCTCCCAGCTCCTAGGGGAAATAAAAGGATAGATTCCAAGTTAAAACCCACAATGCTGAACTCAAGGGAAATTTCGGACACCTGTTTCAAGCAATCAACCATTAACAAAAATAAAGTCATTCACCATGTTTCTCAGTTAAGCGGATTTCCTCTGCACTGGATCAAAGAGATCCTGTGTGCAGATAAACATGAAAAATCCCTGCTTTACTTAGTATCTTATTTATTTAAGGGCCTTTGGAGTTTGACCTGCTGTTGTGCTGACTGTTTGCATTGACCATATTGTTGCTGGTTACAGTGTTTATGGTATACCTGGAAACCGCTTTCAGCAGATGATAGAAAAGTGGCATACAAATATTTCCAGTAAATAAGTCATCTTCCCATGGTGAGGGGAGGATGACTTCTACTGTCTCTCAGGTAGAATCCAAAGTACCGTATGAACAAGATTTTTAGAACCACCTTGATTTGGATCCAAGAGCGCCATCCACCTACAGAAGGGTTTCTTTTCCGCCTCACACTGAGAAATGCCACAGTTTGTGTTCCCTGGACACAGTAAGAATCTCAAGACTCATAACAATCTTCATCAGTGCAAGATGAGAGACTGCACCTGAGCCAGCGGATATTGACCACCAGGCCCGTAGCTAATGCAGGCCCTGTGGGGCCCAACCCCCTAGTGTTTCTTCTGGGCCACCTTCCTCCTGGGGAGGCGTTTGGGTTCCTGGGCAAAGAGCTCTCCTGATGGTTCTGGGCGCCCCTTCAGGAGCTCCGCAGGTCTGGGCCACTACACCCCCTCCCGCCCTGACAATGGAGCCCAGACCGCCAACTCCTTAGGATGCCGCTCTGGGACGCACTCAGACTGCAGGGCACTTGCGAAACAACGATCCCTCCGGGGAAAGCCGGGAGGGAGTTGAGTGGGCGGATGCACCAGCCACCTGATAGTCCTTCTGGGGCTTCAGGAACAATCCCTTGTTTGCCTTTGTTAGGGAGCCGCCGCCGTGCGCACCCGTGCGGATGTGCCCCCTCCCCAATGTGCATGTGAGAAAGAGAGCATGCAGAACGTCTCCCCCAACCTCCCTGCACACACGTGCACTGCAGCCAAGTGACCTGGAGGTCGAGCTTGGAAGAGGAGAGGAGACCCAAGGAGGGCGTGATCCAGCGCTTGTGCCTTCTTCCAGTGTGGATCACGAGATGCCCTGGGCTGGGTTAGCTGCCCCCCCCCCCAAATCCCTAGCTACAGGGCTGTTGACCACGATAGCTGCGTTAGGGCAGAGGTCAGAAGTAGTTGCGAGGAGAAACAAGAGTCGTTGTCCCCGCCTCCCAGCCCTTTCTTCCCTCCACTGGGTTCCTCAGCTACTATTTTGACAGCACTGAGTACACACAGGGCAGGGGAGGGTATGCTGGGGAGGGGAAGAACTAAGAAAGGAAGGAGAGACTTTTCCTCCTCCTACCTGGTCCGGCAGCACAGAGCAGCAGCCAGTTAAGTGGGGGAAGGGCTTTTCGAGAATCCTACGGTGGTCCAGATTACATCAGCACAAGCACCGCAGGATTCCAAGTTTTTGGATCAGGCTTGGGATAGCCCAGTTTACCTGACAATTTATTACTGTATCAGCAAATAAGCTCAGCCTATCTAAGCCCAGTTCAGAGGCAAGCACAGGAGGCCTCCCTCACCGCCGTTCGAGTCACAGCACTTAGAAACTATCCCTTACTTGCTTAAAGGTGAGAAGAAAATCAAAGAAGTTCTTGTTCAGGCTTTCTTTCAGTTGGGGAGCCACTTCCATCCCAACCTGCATTCAAGGAAAGAGATACATTCAGAATTTCCTCAGCTACGACACATGTTGTCATGCAAATGCATAGACTAGGTGGGGTGAAGTGGGAATCAATGAAGGCTGAGATGCTGGGAAAGGGAGGGAGGGAGGACCCATTCTGCCTGCAGAAAAACAGGTTGCTTACCTGTAACTGATGATCTTCAAGTGGTCATCTGTGCATTCACACTCACGGGATTCAGTGCGCCTGCGCTGGATCGATCAGTACTGTAGCAAGCTCTAACGGATTTTCGCACCCAGACCTCAGGCATGCGCAAGAACCCCCAACCACGCATGCCCAGAGGGGTGGGCGCGGACATCCCGCCAGTTCCTTCAGGCCGCAGCAAATCAACGTAAATAAAAACATAGAAGCTGACAACAGCGGGGAAGGAAGGCGGGTGGTGTGAATGCACAGATGACCACTTGAAGATCATCAGTTACAGGTAAGCAACCTGTTTATCTTCGACGTGGTCTCTGTGCTTCACACCCATGGGAGAATAGCGAGCAGTGGCCTACCTGGAGGAGAGTGCTGGCAGGTCATTACTGTGAAGCCGAAGATAAGATGTGACGTCCCATGTTGGTACGAGAGTTCTTGCGAACATCAAGGGCATAGTGCCTTATGAATGTATTAGGCGTAGCCCAGATAGCGGCTCTGCAAATGTCCAGTAGGGGAACTCCCTGGAGGAAAGCAGTGGAGGCTGCAACAGCTCGAGTAGAATGAGCCCTGATAGGGCCAGGTAATGGCTGCTTGGCAGTAAGATAGCAGAGGCGGATAAGACCTACAATCCACCTTGACAAACGCTGAGCCGTGATACGAGTTCCCAGCTTGGCTAGAGCATAGGAAATGAACAGCTGACAGTCACGTCTTGATGGACGAGTTCTCTGTAGGTAGAACAGAAGTGCACGCTTTGTGTCCAATGTGTGCAGTAGCCTCTCCTCAGGGGATGTGGGAGAGGGAAAGAAATCCAGGAGGAAGACCTCTGCGTGTAGGTGAAACTCTGACACTACCTTTGGCAAGAAAGGGATGTCAGGAACAAGACGGACGCCGTCGGGCAAAAAAGATAGGTAAGGAGAATCATGTCTGAAAGGCAGTATTTCCCCCACTCGCCTTGCCGAAGTGACAGCCACCAGAAATACTGTTTTCCACGACAGGAATTTCAAGTCGCGAGCGGCTCAAATGGTTTTCTGGTGAGTTGGCGAAGTACCGGGGGAAGGTCCCAGGGGCTCACAGGGCGTTTTAAAGGAGGATAAAGGTGTAACAGTCCTTTCAAAAAACGTTTAGAAAGAGGATGCGAAAAAAGTGTGCGTCCCTCAACTTGAACATGGTAGGCTGAAAGTGTAGCCAAATAAACTTTCAACGAAGAATGTGACAGTTCAGACTCAGCGAGAGACAGAAGGATTAAAAAACCTTCTCGAGACCTGCGGAAGCGGCTCGAGGGGCATCATCACCCAAAGAGGAACAAAACATTCGCCATGTGTAATGGTAAGATTTTCGTGTCATGGCGTTTCTGGAGTTCAGTAGCACATTAGCTTCAGTCGTGGGACATCATGGTATAGGAGAGGAGACTCAGATAGGAGTGGATGAGTTGATGATCTTGAACCGGCGGGAATTGGTGGTACACCCCTGCTGACAGGTCCAGTATGGTTGAGAACCATGGCTTCCTCAGCCACCACGGGGATATGAGGATGCAATCCGCTTTGTCGCTGATGATTTTGCGCACCGCTCTTGGAAGCAGAGGCAGTGGGGGGAAGACAAAGAGGAAATCTCTGGACCACGGATAGAGAAGACTGTCCCCCAAAGACTGCAGGTCCCTGCCTCCTCGGCTGCAGAACATAGGACACTTTTTGTTCGCCCTGGTTGCAAAAACATCTATTTGGGGGAAACCCCACTTGCGGAAGAGTGCGAGGAGGTAGGTCAAATTCCTTTCCCATTCATGCAGACGAAGTCCTCCCCGACTCAGTTGGTCTGCCTGCACATTCATGTGCCCTGGTATATGCGTGGCGATGAGGAAGATGTTGTGGGTGATGCAGAAGTCCCACAACCGAATGGCCAGTTCACAGAGGCGTTGAGAGACAGTGCCCCCCTGCCTGTTTATATAGCTGAGGGCAGTAGTATTGTCCGTAAGGATCATGACACACTTCCCCTTGATCAGAGGCAGAAAACTGGTGATAGTGAACCGTATCACAAGTAGCTCCAGAAAGTTGATGTGACAGTTCCATTTCTGTGTGTCCCATCTGCCGCCAAGATACCCATGAGATGAGCGCCCCAACCTGAGAGAGACGCATCTGTCGTGAGGGTGATTTCCGGTGATGGAGGGTGGAAGGGTGCTCCCCAGAAAAGGTTGGAGGGAGCAGTCCACCAAAGTAGAGAGTCCCATACTTTGACAGGTGGGGAAAGGTGGGTATAGTGTGTGTCTCGCTCTGGATTGAAATTGCAGATAAACCAAAGTTGTAGGTGGCGCATTCTCAAGCTGGTGAAGACAAGGACGGATGTAGTCGCAGCCATCAGGCCGAGGAGTCTCTGTATCTGGAACGCCATTACCGATGGCCGAGTATGCATCACTGTGGCTAGATTCACAATGTCCACGGCCCTGCTTTGTGGTAAGTAGGCTCTGCAACTTATCAAGTCCAGTACTGCACTGATGTCGTGTATTTTCTGGATCGGTTGAAGTTGAGACTTTTCTAGATTCACCTGCAGTCCGAGGTTTCCCAGGAGGGTCAGAGTTGATGTCGGAGAGTAGGGCATCTCTGGAAATTGCAACCTGTAGCCAATCGTCGATGTATGTGTAAATGGAGATACCCCTGAGATGAAGGAAGGCCGCAACCACTATCATTGTCTTTGTGAATACTCTCGGTGCACTTGAGAGACCGAATGGCAAAGCTGCATATTGGTAGTGATGTTGGCCAATCGCAAAGCATAGGTATTGACGGTGGGACGGGTGGATGGTGAGGTGGAAGTACGCGTCCTGGAGATCCAGAGTGGCCATCCAGATGTTCTTTTGGAGAAGTGGCAGAATCTGCTGCAAGGAGACCATGCGGAAATGGAGGTAGCGCACAAAGCAGTTGAGTGCCCTTAGATCTAAGATTGGTCGAACGCCTCCATCCCGCTTTGGAACTGGGAAATAATGGGAATAGAATCCCGTGCCGTGTTGGTAAAGTGGCACCGGCTTGATGGCTCCCTTGCACAGAAGGACAGACACCTCCTCCAGAAGAACTGATGAAGGGGGTGTAACAATGAAGACTGAAGTAGTGGGGTTATGTATAAAATCTATACGGTAACCATGGGTCAAGATGGACAGCACCCATTCATCTGTGGTGATGAAGCGCCAAGTTTGGAGGAAAAGGGCTAGACGGGTGGGATGTGACTGAAGAACATGAAGTCAAAAACCCTGTTTTGTCGACTTAGCCTGCTTATGGCAGGGGGGTTGTTGTCCCAATCCGAATCTGGGTTTCTGAAATGTGGGCTTCTGGCCTCCAGAGGATGTACGTGGCCTCCACTGCCGCTCAGGAGACCGATGGTTTGGGATACGTTTTTGCCAGGACGAGGCCGGTATTGTTGCCTCGTCGAGGAAGAAACACCCAGAGTACGAGAGGCCTTTATGCTTTTGTCCATATCTTGCAATATGGTGTCTGTGGTGCTATTAAAAAGACCAAGGCCATTGAAGGGGAGGTCTTCTATGAATGCCCTGGTGTCCGACTGCAAATTGGTGCTGCATAGCCAGGAGTGTCTTCGGTGGAAGGGTGCTCCCCGGAAAAGGTTGGAGGGAGCATTCCACCAAAGTAGAGAGTCCCATACTTTGACAGGTGGGGAAAGGTGGGTATAGTGGCTGAAGCCATTGTCCTTGAGCAGTTGTTTAACACATGCTTAGAAGTATTAATTTGTTGTTTTGCCAGCACCATGCCCTCCTTTTGGATGATGTGGGCTAACTGACACTTATTATCGGGAAGTGTTGCTAACATCTCAGAAAGCCTTTCCCATAAGGTATATTGATATCTACTCATACATGCTAAGTAATTCATGGTCTTCACACCGAGTGCTCCCGTGGAGAAGAACCATCGGCCGAATGCATCTAGCTTTCTGCTCTCCCCGTCTGAAGGGGCAGAATGGGTTTTCTTCGACTCGGATGAGGAAGTAACTACCACTGAGTTCAGTTGAGGGTGGGTGAATTCCGCTCCTGCTTCCTGGACTCTGTACATATGGTCCATGCAGCGTGTGGACACTGGAGCTGATGAAGGTTTATCCCACGGCGTTTTAGCCGCCTGTAACAGGACCATAGACATGTGCACTATAGCTGTCGATGTATCTAACTGTACAACATCGAATACAGCATCTGTAACCAATGGTTGAGGCTGTACAACGGAAAGGCCAAGGGAATGGACCATTCTTTTAATGAGGTCTCAGTAAGATGTTAGGTTTTCTGATGGAGATATGGGTTGGTCATCGGCCACTGCCTGTTTAGGAGATGGCTGGTCAGGTGAGCTGTGGACATCTGAAACCCCCGTGTCGGAATCCTCATCTGTGGAAACAGAGGAATCAGGGTCTGGTAATTGTACAGGAGTGGCTTCCGCTTGACCGGTCAGCTCCTGGATTGATGGAGTTGGAATAGGGGGACTAGCTGGTTGATATTGATCTGGTCGATGTCTAGGAAGGTCTTCAGATGGACGGTCGGGAAGATGAGAAAGAGACGCAGAGGGTGTCACTCTCGATCTGTGGGGGGACCGCGATCTATGCGCAGAATAACAATCCCAATCTGAATAAGCTGCTGGCGTGAGCCAGGGCGTGGACGCTGGTGGATAAGCCCCGTAGAGATAGCGCATCTGAGAGTGATCCCAAGAGAAAGCAGGAGGCGGTGGGGGCAGAAAAACCTGTGGCGATCTACTCCTGGAGCGGGAGTGTCTAGGAGATAGTGAAGCTTCTCGTCTCCTGGAGTGGCCCCTATCAGCCCGCGTGTTGATATCGAAAGATCGATCTTTGGCAAAAAGGGGGGGGGATGACGTTGGGTGTCAGACGGGATATGTCGATGCCGACTTGCACCGATATCGGCATGGAACTCAGAGAGTGGTGACGCCAATGACTGAACAGAGGGAAAACAATCCCTGCCCAAGGGACGGCTGAGGATTTCCACATTGTTAATGTCGGAGAAAGGACGCATGTCCGCCAGCATATCATGGTCTAGCTAGTGTATAGGAGAGTCCATCAGTTGGATGGTTGGTATCGGTGGGGTGACCGGAGCCTCCGATGCCTATACAGTTGTAGGAACGGGGGTACCTTAGGGGCAATACCCAGTGCAGAACCTACGACTTTTCCAGACTTCGCCGCCTTCAGGGGTTTAGAGGAACCCTTTTTGGGGGACTTGTGGTCTTTACCCGACTTCTCCTTCTTCTTTTTTATGGGACTGGATGCCGAAGACTGTGCTGTCGGTGCTGGATGCTTCAATGTCAACTGGACAATGCCGGACGAGGACTTTGACGCTGGAGCCGTCGATGTCGATGGTCTCACCGGCATGTCTGAATCCATGATGGAAGAGGGGTTTAGCGCCAAATCCAGTAACGCTACTCGGAGACGCGCCACTCGATTTTTCCTAGTTTGATTGGAAAACTTGGCACAGTGCTGGCAAGACTCTGGGCGGTGCATCTCACCAAGACAAAAAATACAAAGGGTGTGGCCATCTGGTTACTGCCGCACCCTGTACAACGTTTGAAAAAGCCCTGCCTTTTCTCCATAAAGTAAACAAAACGGACAAGAAAAGAGGTGGGGCGGGGCGAAGGCCAAACTGAGGTAAACTTCCCCCTCTAAAAATTTTTTTTTAGATATAGGAAGAAAAAACAAAGAAGCGAAGGAAAAAGAGAATAGACGAAGTGAAATCTGAAGAGCTTCTGAGGAAAAAAAACAGCTACTAATCTCACCAACCAAAGAAAGGTGTTCCCAGCGCAGCGGAAAGAAAGGACCTGGCGGGATGTCCGCGCCCACCCCTCTGGGCATGCGTGGTTGGGGGTTCCTGCGCATGCCTGAGGTCTGGGCGCGAAAATCCGTAAGAGCTTGCTACAGTACCGATCAATCCAGCGCAGGGGCACTGAATCCCATGGGTGTGAAGCACAGAGACCACGTCGAAGATCATTAAACAACAGCAAGTGGCCAGGGGACAGACGGGGGGGGATGTATAGGAGCTATACACACCTTTTCAAGTGAGAAGAGCCAACATGAATGTGTTTTTGGTTGTCTGCATCTCCCTCAAAATTTGTGAGTGCAGATAGGCATCAGTCAAAGGCCTTGTTCACAATCTGGTCCCTCCTCCCTTGGTAAACCTCCAGCAACCCAAATCATCGGATGCTGAGCCTCCTTTCCTCACTAGCCTTGGGGCCAGGCTGCTTGGGCGAAGGGGGATGCCTTGCACTTTCATTTCACGGTCAGCCCAATCTGCTTTCTATAGGAGCCAAAGGGATTCCAAAAGCCCAGAATAATTCTGAATATCTGAAATAATGAAATTGGTAACTGGAAGCATTCTCAATGTGGCATTACTTAGTGAATTGTGAATAGTTCCAAATGCAAATTGCATGCCCCCATTAATTTACAGCATTTACAACGCCATTTGATAGCACAAAATATGGTGGTGCAGCAAACACAGTGTTTCCCGTGGCACCATATTTCTTTGTATATCAAACAGCACGAGACATTCAATAAGCAATACAATAGGTCTAAAGCTTCAAAAATTACAAGCAGCACAAAAAAGTATCAGGCAAGGTATGTCATAAAAGATGCAAAAATGGATTTATAAAAATAGAAAGCAGTAAAGTAAGAACAAGGTAATACATACAATAAACAGTGGAACAGACTACGATCCTGTTCCCTGAAATAATGCAATTTTTATTGGGAACACGATGCAGGACTTTGACTCATCCATTTTCCATCCCCAAACCAGCCCCATGGAGCTATCTGCAACTCCACTGGGACAAATGTGCAGGCATTATATAGAAGGCCTGTACGTCTGCACAGTAGGGCAAAACACAGCTCTGCATGAGTGTTCCAGATTGGAACCCAGCAATGGGGTTTCTCTGCCCTCCCACGCCACAGTCTCATTCCAAATCGGGCCCTCTTGAGGCTGCCGTTTACAAAGAGAACACCTTTAGGAGCACTGAAAAAGAACACCCCACATCCAATTTGTTTTATCCTAGTTCTTTCATGTTCTGGAAATTCATCTGCTGCTAATCTTTCCCCCCCACCTCCAGGTGGAACCAATAAAACCATTGTTAAAAGAGTAATGAAATCCTACCCTGCAGAGATATGCTCTAGCATAGACTGCAACTAGAGGATCTCCAATTCCTCGGATCATGGAGGTTAGGCGTGGGAGACTTTCTGAAATCCCTCTGTATGGAGGGGGAAAAAAGATCATTTGAGATGGCAGATTCTGGGACTTTGCACTCACCTACTATTCTGCTTAGACAGCCCTGGGTTGCACTAAACACTAACGCTGGGCAGAGGGCCTTCCCCCATACGAATTCTCTGTACCACCCCCACCCCCCTTTTGGGGTCAGAAGCAGCATGGGGGGAAAGTAGACAAACAAAATGGTGATTTGTGATCAGATCTCTGGATGTGCAGTTTAACCTTAAAGAGCAGCCATGAGGGTGTCATTTCAGTCAGGGAAACAGCACTGGGGAAAAGTTTTATGTTTAATGTCGCAAACTTTCTCCATTACTGCCTTAATCCAAACCCCGTCTTCTCCAGGATACTTTAAAAACTAAACTACACACGGAAGACGCCTGGAAGGCTCCTGTATCAGTAGCTTATGTCTGGCCAAGGATAAACACTTGGACTGCAACATTTAGCCAAACATCATATATTCTAATAGCCAACAGAGGGCGCCGTGCGGATACTTAGATTGAGGGAAAGAAAGCTCCGTGGGCCTCAGACTCTTCTCCTACAGACCCAGCATGCTTCCATTATGTGCAGAAAAATCGAAAAAGTGACAAAATCGCTCCAGGGATGACTGAATTCCCCCAAAAACCCTTTGAAATGGGCTCTGCAGGGCTCTGCTTCAGACACCAACTGTGAGAGAGAGGTTAGAACGTTCAGGG